CATAAAATAAGGAAGGGTAAAGAAATCGAAACAACTAGAATAAGGAAAGCAGAAATAAAGGAAACCACTAGAATAACTAAAGGGAAATAATTAGGACAGCTTGTGGGCAATTAATTTGGACCCTTTTATGCGCCTCTGGTACACATGACCAAAACGATGTGTATCACAAACATACAAGTTTATCTTTTACCCCTGTAATATTGTATTACCTTCCGTGAAGTTATCGTATAGCCTAAGGTACTCTAAAATAATCTGACCAAAACATGCCCTGGAGTCAGAAGCACTCTCACTAGGTTACATTTCCACTTGCTCACGGTTCATACAATATTGACATAAACTTTTGATATATCTTGTCATTTTATATTCATTCACATATGGTTGTAGGTTCGTGACAAAGGAGCATGGTTAGCTTCTTACAGAGATGTTCCTAAAGCTCGTAGAGCTGCAATAGTACCTGGAATGTTTCCTTCTGGCAAGAGCTTTGTCGACACGTCTGAAAGTGGTAGCGATTCTACCACTATTGACATCAGTGACATTGATGGCCACAGAGGTTCCACAAACGGGGTTCCTATTGCTGAAGGAACTTCAAATTCTGCTGACTTCTTTGAGGAGGAAGTCTCGACACTACCTTTAGAGCGTTGTATGAGGATAGTGCCTCATGATCAGAATACTGGAGCATTCTTTATTGCAGTGTTTCACAAACTTTCTCCATTGCCAGGTAAAATTGTAATAGGGCCATGTGCATGTCTGATGAACAATAATTAATCTTATAGCGAAACATGACCATAAAAGTATCTCAAAACATCACCGTCTTAAGATACTTCCCATACTAGTGAAAAAATTGATGACGGTGACTGTATTTTGAAATTATCATCTTGTGAATACTCTGTAAGAAGGTTGCAATAGGAAGTACATGAGGCGTAAAACTTTGTCGGCTATGCTTGTTGCATGAATGTGAAGTAATTTCACAAAATTTATTGACACTAAACTTCATGCTAGTGATTTCATACAATTACTTGACACTAAAAACTTTGTGCTACCGACCCCAACATAGTTGAATATTGATGCAATAATGGTAATGATGATGTGTTCCTTTAATCCAGGGTTAATCTCATTACACCCAAATGGGTGTTTACATTTGCAGATGTTAAAAATCATGTTACTCTGCCCAGTAAGTTGCATTCAAATAACAATGATATTCAAACAGAGAAGTTAACGACTGAGGTCCAAGAAGAGGATACTGATTCAATGCAAGCTAAGCTGGAAGAGATTTCAACTGTTCTTCCTGAATTGACTAGGGATACTGATGCAGCTGATAACGAGATGGTTGATGTTGCTTTTGATGCAGAGTCTGGTACAACGCCTGAAGTGAATGAAACTAATGGCATCGAGCCTTCTAACAATAGTATGGGAGCTAATCCAGAGATGGTTAGAGGAAAAAGGAAATTACAAGTTCAAGGCAGGTGGAGAGGGGTTGACCCTGTTATCTTTTACAGGGAAGAAGAAGTTGTTGGTAAGATCAAAGATTTCTATGGCATCAAAGAATCCTTTCCATTTGATGGTCATCTTATTACAAGAAATGCTGATATGAACCATGTGAAGAGAGTCTATTACATATCGAAGTCAGTGAAGAAGGTTCTTGAACTCAATTTTGTAGTTGGACAGCAACTTAAGATAGCCTCTGTTGGACTGAAGATGTTTGTAAGTTGCTCATTCTAGAATCTTCCCTTTTCTTTCATTTTGCATTAAAGATTCCAATTGGAGCCTGTTTGCTCATCTCTTTTCTTGGATGGAAGGGAATTTGGGTGTTTGTTATGCAGAGAGCATTTGTAACCTGCAAATTACCTTAACACACTTGTGTTTGAGAGGGACATAGAGAACGGTAATTCTTTTTACCATTTTGATATTCTTTGTGACAATATACTTTATTTCTTAAATTTATCAGGAAAGGCAAACATCTAAAGATGGTACATCTGCGCCATGTTTATTCCGAATATCATCTGAAGGGCTGCCGTTGCTTCTGCCCCATGTAACCAAACAGATTCTGCATGCATCTCCCATCGACTTCAAGCATCTATTGGAGCATAAAAGTGTTAAATTTGCCAACTTCGTCGATGCTAACCTTGGAGAGAAGGCTTCAAATCTATTGTTGGGTTGCTGTGTGGTTATTTTAAAGAAAGGTCCAATTGATAACTGTGCAAAACAATATTATGAATGGATTTGAAGTTTTTGTACGGCTTGCTTCTTATGTTGTTTTTTGTTCTTGTGCAGAAAGTGTGGGTGTGTCAGATCCTTCTCAAGTGGATGCGTCAACAGTTGCAATTGGATGCTGGAGAGGAAGGACTAATGTGTCTGTGATGGTAACTTCTCTCGACTGCCAAGAACTTTTAGAAAGGATGTCTCTTTATACAGAAGAGGATACACCTTTATCTTTGCCGGATAGCAAACAATCACAGACCACTGATGATAAACTTGTTCGGGACAGCGAAGCATCTGCCATTGACGATGAACATTAAGACCTTTTTTTGTCAAATTCAAACTTATTACACCATCTCCACCGTTTTTTATCTTTAAATATCCATCAAGCCACTTTGCATTTTATAAGACCATCCACTTATAATCTGTTGAGTTTTTGTTTGACAGTACCAACAATATAACCACTATAATTATATGTTTTGGGTTGTGATTATTCAAGGATGTTTTAATTGGATTGATTTTTTATTTGGTATTATTTGATCTGGTTTCTTAAAGTCTTGTCTGATCAGTTTGATTAGATAGGTGTCTAATCAATATGTATTTCACAACTTTCGAAATTTGATTTGGTCTGGTATCCGTTTTAAGTCTAGTTTGGTTTGAGACTAAAATTGTACTCCCTCCGGTTCTTTTTAAACTTCAGTGTTTGACTTCACAGTTATTAAGGAAATAAAGTTGACTTTACTGTAGAGTACACTGTTGAGGCACTGTTTGGCACTGTTGAGACACTGTTTGGCACTGTTGAGACACTGTTTGGCACTGTTTAGCACTGTTTAACATTGTTTTGATGTAGATTTCTTTGCCAAATAAGGAAATAAGGAAGTGTGAAGTTTATTTTGGACCGTCCCGAAAAGGAAAGTGTGAAGTTTATTTAGAACCGGAGAGAGTATCTAATTTTTTTTTCCACTTCAAAGTTGCAACTGTTCAATTGAAACTGTGCAGGATATGGGAAAGAGATGTACAATTGAAATTGTGTAGGATACGGGAAAGAGTTAAACGTAGGGGTGGACCCGAGTCGGTCCCGGTTTCGGGCCGAGAGTCCGAGACTTAGAAAGTTGAATTACCCAAAGTCTTTAAATTTCTTTAAGAGATGTCATCATGTCAACATGGGCTAGTTATATTTTGAAGGGAGTATCATGCAGGCACCATATATTCATATTAACATGAATATATTTTCATCTTAAAATGTCAATCTAATAGAAGTAATTCAAGATATCAATATATTGTTTAATTTTTTTATGACTTGACACTTCATCTAGTGCTGGACTCAGGCCGGTTCGGGCCCGGATCGGGCCTGGGCCCGGCGGGCCTCGGGCCAGGAAAGGGAGGCCCGAGCCCGAACCGCCGGTGGCCGGTTCCGGTCCCGGTTCCGGGCCAAACCGGGCCGGGCTGAACCGGCCCAATTAATTTTTTTTTTTTTTTTTGTTCTCCTATTTAATCCCCTACCCCTCCCCCTCAACCCCAAACCACCTCAAATGGCCCAAAATACCTAATCCAACCTAAAACTTAAAAAAATTTCAAAAAAAAAAAAAAAAATTAAAATCCGGCCCGGACCGGGCCCGAACCGCCCAGCAGCCGGGCCGGGCCGAACCGAACCGGCGGACCCACCGGGCCCCGGGTCGGGCCGGGCCAAACAGTAACCGGGCCGGGCCGGTTCCGGGCCGGGCCGCCCGGCCCGAGTCCAGCACTACTTCATCTGGATCTTGTTGTCATTTATTTTTCGATCGATTCTTCATTGCCATTTTTTTTTATTGTTTCGTCATTTTTCATAGGGTTCCACACTTCCACATCATGATTACAAATCGATTTGACTCATAACATGTTAGGTTATGGAGTTCCATTCTAAGAGGTTAACTTGATAGGAAGAGTATCCGCGAATTTTAATCTAACACTTTATTACGTCTTTCAATGTGGAACTTCAATACCTCTTCTCATGACTAGACTATTCATATGGTGGAATTCACATTCACACAAAATAGGGATATTTCAAATCGTAATAGGTAAGCATGTGCATAATTCTCCTCCGTATCACTTTACTTCTTCTTGGAGGGTGATTACATGTTCGAATAATTTTGGACTAACTACAAATTGTGTATTTTCTTATTTGAATGACGAAACAAATTTATATGTTTATTTTTTCAAAAATTTTAAATAGTTTTTCTAGTGTTGATTTACTAGACTGAGCTAACTATTATATTTGTTGGAAAGCTTTTAATATGTCATATTGTCATGATAACAGTCACAATGTGTTCACTATGGAGTATAATGTTGCGATAGCGGTTACTATGGAGTATAATGTTGCGATAACGGTCACATTGTAGGAGTAAATATATGAATAAGCCAATGAGTTCACTATGAAGTATAATGTTGGGATAACGGTCACAATACACTCAACTTAAAATTGAGAGAAAAAATTTCGAGAGAATCCACACCATTTGTTATACCAATATGCTTGCTCACTCATTGACGTGCTCCATATATATTTTGGACATTGTAGTATTATACAATATGATCGTTGAGTAATGATTCTGTTCAGATTTCAGTCGGATGGACCTTCTATTCGGTTGCCGTCATTTAGAGTGATTCTTGCTGAATTTTTTGATAAAATATTTTGAACATATTTTTCATAAAAAATATATTGTATACACAAAATTTGAACTTAAAATTTAATTGAAGAGTCAATTAAATAAATTCTTAAATAATCGTGAGCTAAATTTCTATTAAAAAATTCCGGAGGCCGGAGAGAGGGAAGATTCTGTCCGAACAGCGGGGGTCGTTTTTTATAATGCCGCGCGGCTGCACTGTGCTCATACAGTCTACGTAGAGGGTGAGGAAGAGTGATAAAGAGGAAAGAGCACGAGACGTGGAACGAGATCGATCAATGGACGGTGAAGCGGAAGAAGAGTTGAAGTCTCAAGGAGCCGAAAGCAATGCCACCATCTCCAAGGCTACGGTCCGATATCATGTGTTTTTCTTGTCCATCCACCCCCACACATACATATATGAAACTGCGTGAGATGCAAGCTAAAGTTGAAGGAATTGACTTCGAGAGCTTCTGTGTTATATTGTTGCAGGAATTGGATAACTTGAAAATGCGTTTGCGAGCGATGGAGAAAGAAGCGGAAGTTCTGCGTGGGATGCAAGCTGAAGTTGAAAATCAGATGGGTGATGATGCCCCAGGTTTTTTTTAATCGCAAAACTCCGATTTATATTTGTATTTTATAGTTTTGCAAATATTGAATCTGTTTTTGCTTCTGATTCGTCATTTTTACATAGTCGGGGTGTTACATAAGATCAAGTTTTGCTAATCCAGAAACCTATTACGTATTAATACACGTCTGCAATTCCTTAAGGATTTAGAATGTACTCATTTATTAATTATTGCAAGCACTTAATCTATATGTGATGAAATGTTTGATACGGAAGTTCTCTGTGATTTTTGCAACACCTTTTCCCCATCACCTTGGATAGTTACCTGTTCCAAGTGTCATGTAAATTGTTGCTTTCATATGGTGGGGTTCTTCTATCAAAGGGATATGAGGAGGCGGGCCAGGAGGATAGGAGAGACATGCTGAGTGGGTAGTTCTGTAGTACACATTTCCGATTGACACTTGCATTTTTTCACTTTTGAAGTGTTAACAAAATTTGCTAGGTGCTTGAGTGAAGCTTACCCCATCGAGATTGCCTAACCCCTCAAGAGCACACAATCTGGCACTTAGGCCATCTAAAGTTGAATTGTCCTAGGCGCTTGAGCCAATTTTTAAGTCATGTTTTTTCCCAGGCTCCAATAAAGTTATGACTTGTTGTGACATGTGAGAGTAGTATCTCTGAGAGTGCACCTGACAACTTCCTTTTTGTGTAAATTAGTACACAATAAAGTCTGAAACCTCTTTTCTTCCTCATAAGCTCACATACGGAGTACAATTTGCCCAAAATTTTGGGGCAGTTTTTAAATAAAGTCTGAAACCTCTTTTCTACAAAGGAATGGATTTCTTTCCTGATTCCTCCCCTAGACAAATAAGTTGTGTAATCGTTTTATTAGAAAGAAACACCAGATCACCATTGACAACATAATCTTAAATTTAAGTGTGCGTATTCAATATGCATTTCTTTCCTGACTTCTCCGATGTTCTCTGTCTTACACTTTCAGAGGATCCATTTTCTGTTTCTTGTTCCCTGTTTTATATTTTCTTACACTAGGGGGGGGGGGGTAGGTTGCTACAGATCTTCTAAAAGTTAATTTATCATCTAGAACTTACGGTTTCATCCTTTCGTGGAAGTTGTTGGAGGTATGAGTGAGTGTGAGGCAGTTTGGCCAGAGAGTCTTCTTCCTCGAGTAAGAGTTTCCTCTTTGTGAGTGAGAGCTTGAGAGGTAGAAGTGTGGCTAATCTTGGTGAGTTGGTGGAGTGGCTAAACAGTCCTGGGTTTGTGTGAGAGTTATTGACTTAGGTTGGAGACCTGAGCTGAAATATACACACCCAACAGATTACGTTGCCTTTGTCTTCAGTTAATTGCTACTATTGTATACGGAGTATTTCTTGAGGAAGTTTCATTATGCTTTGATTCCCTTTTCATTTCTTTCCATGTTTAGTGTCACATTCACAAATAACCAATTTGGCTGTATCATTTAATGTCAGAAAATCCAAATGCAGATTCGACAGTGACAACAGAAGAAGTTGATGCACGATCTATCTATGTTGGCAATGTAAGCAAAAATGGGTCATGTTGAAATGAATTTTGGCGATTCTTTGCATCCATTGTGACTTTATACTCCTTAATATTCTACCAGAGTTTTTCTAGCCCTGCCTTTTGATCTTTGATTCACTGCCTTTCACTTGAAAGTCATAATAATGTATGCATGTGGTGTTTTACGAAGTGTATAGCACAAGTGCTGAACAAATACTGTGATATGCCTCTTCCTAGTTGTGTTTCAGTTTATTGTCATTGGTATTGGCAATAATTCTTATTATTTCTTGGTTTTGTTGAAGATAATTTCTCCTATTTATATAATTTTCTTCCATTTTAATCTTAAGTGGAATGAGATACTTTGGTAGCTATCATCACAACCAATCACAACTATGGTGGGTCGGCAACATGGAGTTTATTGAAGTTAGTTAACACTACAAATAAAATTTTCTTAACTAATTTCCTGAAGTTAGTTAACACTATTAATAATTTCGGGGAAAAACTTTAATGACAAAGTTATATGCCGGAAGCCCATAAATGATGCAAATATTTTTATAGCTATGAAGAAGAAAATTGTGGAAAGTAGATTATTGTTCTCAACACTCACATACTAGACTGTTAATGTAAGTGTTGTCAAACCAGTTGATTTGCAGTTTGTTCTTCACCTTCCACATCATGACAAGCTTAACCTATATGTGCTTATAATAGTCGTAGTTGACTAAAGCTTATTGGGAACTACCAATTATTATAACTGTGATATCAGAGGTCATGAGTTAACACTACTGATGGCAGATCTGATAGCTAGAGCACATAAAGCTACACATACGTAATAGGCTGCCAGATGTCCACAAAAGCTAGTAGTATGATTTTGTTTTGTGTAATGAGGCTGAATTAATAAAATCAGTTTATGCACTTTCACATCAATGACATACTTTTGTCTATTCGCACAAAAACCTTTGTGTTTTCTTCAGCTTACTATTGGCACTATGTGTTGCTATAGTTTCTCGATTATAATGTAGCTTATGTTTTCTTTGGTTTGAGTTTGGCCTTTCTTTTGGGTCTGGTTTTGACAAATCTCACCATGGTGGCAGGGTTAATTATGTGGTTGTGGGAGAGAGTCAATTGCATGCTTTCTTGTAGGGGAAAAAATCGTAAAAAGAAAGATGAGGGGAAAAATAATAAAAGATGACAAAAAAATTAGCCTTGGTTGTGTGCCGGGGAAACTTGAGAAAAAAATATATTCAGGAGTAAAAGAAAAGAAAAGAAAAGTAAAGAAATTGAAGGAGTTACAAGAGTGTCGTCCTATGAGAAATAATACATGAAAGCTATGAAAATCTCTCCCTTGGGAAGAGCATCTTCGTTGCAATGGATCCCTGCCAAGTCTTTCTGCTGGGAAAGAGTCCGTGGACGTGCGTGTGAGCGTGTCACAGATTTACTAGCCTTTTAGCTGGGTGAGGTGTGTTTTATTGCCTTCGGCATTGTTGTATTATTCTTCCCTTTAGTATCCAGAGTCAGTAGCCTCTACCTACATGACTACAGTGGTAAAGAACATAAAAGTTAATTACCAAAGTAGGAGAATTGGGATAATACTTCCTAACATGACTCCTTCCAAAATTGAAATATAATGCTTATTACTCCCTCCGTCCCAGAATTAACTTCGGTTTTGACTGGGCACGGAGATTAAGAAAGTGGGAAATGTGTGGTGGAGAGTTGTACAGAGGAGAGAGAAATGTGTAAGAATGGTTGTGAACCACAAATCCTTTGCTAAAAAGGGAAAGAGGAGATAAATTTGGGACGGACCAAAAAGGAAAGAATGAAGATAATTATGGGACGGAGGGAGTATGATTTTTTGTAGTAATGATGGCATTTCTAGAAACAGTTGACTTTTGGAAATTGCTATGGAATGAATTCTTTAAGACTTAAGAGCCTAAGAGTTGGACCATAAGATGCCAGTTCAGATTTCCATCACTAACTATCTCGTATTACTTATAATTATGATTTCTTATTTTGATAAATTTTCACCTGGATGTTATCTTGTAGGTTGATTACGAATGCACTGTGGAAGAACTTCAGCTGCATTTCCAGGAATGTGGTACTGTGAACCGAGTAACTATCCTTTGCGATAAGTTTGGCCAGCCTAAGGGTTTTGCATATGTGGAATTCCTTGAAGAAGAAGCTGTCACGTTGGCTCTCCAGCTGAATGAATCTGATTTGCACGAACGTAAAGTCAAGGTAATATTTTTTTCATTAGAATCGTGTTCCAGTGCCTTCCAGCCAATAATTGAAGAGGAGCATAATAACTCAAATGGTAAACAAAATAAAAGAAAGTGTCAACAATAAACTGCTTTGGATAATTTCTTTACTAGGCACAATGGTGAAATCGTGGTGATTGAGTGGTTGGGAGAGTCCTTAACTTTGTAACCATTCAATTCATTTGCAAGTTATGCCCAAGAGGAAGAATATCCCTGGAATGAGGCAGCGCCGGCCAAGGCGTTTCAGCCCTTATGTTATTCACGGTCATCCTATTGTACCATCTTATATCTACTCTCCTTATGGATACGGGTTAGTTTCTTATTGTATTTTTGCCTAGATCTTTGTTGAGGTAGCTTTGAAAGCTGAGTACCCCCCCCCCCCCCTCCCCACACTTACTATTGCAGGAATCCAACTTTCCAAAGGCCTAGATGAAAGAGGCACTATTCTTTTTCATTTCCGTTTTCTTTTCAAGACTATGGATGTTTCTGCAATGCTATATGAAGTATCTACATTGCTTTATTTGCAAGGAAAGCTAACTACATTAATAGCAGTGTGGTACTGAGTCTTGCAAATTGCAATCATGCTTTGCATTTGATATCTGCATGGGAACTTTTACAGGTGTTTGGTAATTGGGTAGTGTTTCCTCTTAGAAACTGAAACTTTTATGTTGGTACTTGAACTTCTACCAAGTGGTATAATGACAAAAGTTTGTGCTTTTATTTTGCATTTTCCTTTGGCTTTTCATCTACCCTATGTTTGTTTCAGGTGGAGATGTGTTTTAACATGTTTGCGGTTTTAGTAAGTTTTGGTTCAACAACTAAGGATGTTTTTACTTGGACGGTAATTTGTCCCAGACCAGACCAGACCAACAAATTACAGTCCAAGTAAAAACATCCTAACACAAGTTTTAATCCCAAAAGATTTTAAAGTCAGCTAACATGAATTAATACATGATATCAGTCAAAAGGATTCAAAAATAAGAAAATATGTTAAGATAAAAAGATAAAAATAAATATAACATAAAAATAAAAATGATTCATGAGGTTAAAAAAAGATACTCCGTATAAAATCAAAATGATAAAAGGATAAAAATCATAAGAAAAATAAAAAGATAAATAGATAAAAGAAAAAAAGAGGAAAAAAAATGAGAGGAGAGATCAATCTTCCACATGGGTATTTGCTCTCCACTTTATTTTTTTCAAAGACATACTCTCATCCAACTCAATAAAAATATATCATTCATGATTCCTCTAATCTATGTCTGATTGAGTTGCCCCTCTCTGCTCCCTACTTCTTAACTTGTCTAATAGGTGCATCACTCGATATTCTATGAACATGACCAAACTAGGGGTGGCCTCGTGCCGGGCCAACTGACCCGGAACTGGCCCGGCCCGGCCCGGGAAACGGTCTGGGCACCGGTTCGGGCATACCCGGCCCGGTAGTGTAGCGGTGCGGGCTCAGGCCTAGGAAATCATGAACCGGCCCGGCCCGGCCGGGCCCGCTCCGGGCCACAACGGCTCTATTTTAATTTTTTTTTTTTAAATAAAAAACAACCTCCTAGCCGTTGGGAATAATCCCAAACGGCTCTATAGCCATTGGAGGGGGGAAAGGGGGGTGGGGGTTTGGGGTGGGGGTGGGGGTGGGGGTGGGGGATACAAAAAAAAACCTATTTATACTCCTATTTTCTCTACATTTTTCACATCATCTTCATACAATCCTACTCTCTAATTTTCTATTCTCTCATACTCAATCATCTCCATCTTCATCTTCTCCAAATCTCTCTCTCTCTCTCTCTCTCTCTCTCTCTATATATATATATATATATATATATATATATATATATATATATATATATATATATATATTATTTATATAATTATTATATCTACTTATATATACTTATTATCTACTTATACATCTCCATCTTTTTTATATTTACTTTGATATCTACTTATTATCTATATTTATTGTTATTTACTTATATATATTAAAGTATTATATATAAGTGTATCTCTCATCTTATAGTAATATACTTAAATATTATATACTCTAAACATTATATTAGTTATACAATTATATTAGTTACACTTGAATTCATAGTAATTAAATTCATCGTATTAGTTAAATTTTACATTTCTCATTATCCTAATTTAGTTAATTAATACTTGTCTCGTTTTTTCTATTAGTTAATTCATCATTTTTTCTATTCATAGTAATTAAATTCATCGTATTGTTACATTTTTCATTTCCCTTTAGTTAATTTGTTAATTGTTGCATTTTTCATTAAAGTATAAAACTAGTTAATTGTTACATTTTTTATTTCCCTATTAGTTAATTTGTTAATTGTTGCATTTATCATAAAAGTATAAAACTAGTTAATTGTTACATTTTTTATCTCCCTATTAGTTAATTTGTTAATTGTTGCATTTATCATAAAAGTATAAAACTAGTTAATTGTTACATTTTTTTATTTCCCTATTAGTTAATTTGTTAATTCTTGCATTGATCATAAAAGTATAAAATTAGTTAAATGTTACATTTTTCATTAAAGTATAAAACTAGTTAATTGTTACATTTTTCATTAAAGTATAAAACTAGTTAATTGTTAATTTCTCATACAATGATGCACGAAATTTGACTGGTATGGCTAACTTACTTGTTGAAGAAAATTTGTCTTATTTGTTTTCTGAAAGTCTTGCTTTTAAAGATTATGCACAAACTTGTTTAAATCCTCAATTTAGAGGTTATAGTCGCAAAACGGTTAAGAAAGAAATTATAAGGATTTATCGTGCGGAAAAGGATAGGTTACAATTGTTTTTTTGCAAACTTTGATGGCCGTGTTACTATTTGTTCGGACATTTGGGAGGATACTTATCATAATTTACATTATTTGGGTCTGACTGCACATTTTATTGATAATGATGGGAATTTGCATAAACGTGTTCTTGTTTTTCGTGAATTTAATGATCGTCACACCGCTGAACATATTTATATTTTGATTGAACGTATTTTAAATGAGTATAATTTGATTGATAAGGTGTTTGCTATAGGTTTTGATAATGCTACTAATAATACTGCTGCTATACCTAGATTGCGTGAATTGTGTGCTTCTAATACTTTGATGGGTAGATTTTTCATCAACGAGGTGCATGCCATATTATAAATTTATATGTGCAAGACGGTCTAAAAGCGTTAGAAGATGCTATGGAGGTAGTCAATGGGAGATTAGATGTATTTGGGGCAATGGTCAACTTAAATTAAAATGGAAAAATTATTTGATTGAAAGAGGTGTGCAATATGTTGCTTTTCCTAAAGATTTGTCTATTCGCTGGAATAGTACTTATAAATTAATTAAAGTTCTTCTTAGATATAAAGAACATTTTCCTACTTTTTTAAGACAATATGATAACTATATTTTAAACTCCGCTCACATCGACACTTGCGAAAAAATTTGTAATGTTTTGATAATTTTTTTTAATAATGCAACTGAAAGGTTTAGTCATGTTTATAAACCTAGCTCAAACGAATTTATTCGTGAAGTTGTTAATCTCGCAGGTGCTTTTAATGAATTTGAGAATGCCGCTTACGTGAGTTGTTTTTGTGGTTTTATGAAGGAAAAGTTTTAAAATATTACGCTCATATTCTGCATATTTATGGTATTGCATTTATTCTCGATCCTCGTTATAGACTTGGTAATTTGGAAGAATGTTTGAAGTTCTATCATCATGCTTTTTTTGGTCCATTTCCAATGTATGATGATAACGCCATAGATCCGCAAGTTGAATACAACGAGGTTAGTAATTTATTTTATGTCTTATTTAATGAGTTTCATGCACAATATGGCAACGCGCCCCCTCTCCCGACACAAACATCTTCATCTAAAGGAAAATCACTTTTTAAATATGCTTTTGGCAATCTTATGAAAAAAACTAAAACAACTCACACTACTGAACAAAGCGCACTTAATGAGATTTCTTTGTATATAAATTATGAGGTAGATTTTGACGAAAATGATGAGTTTGACATTCTAAAGTGGTGGAAGTCAAAAGAAAGAATGTTCCCGATTTTGGCACAAATGGCTAAGCAAGTGCTATCAATGCCGGTTTCAACAGTTGCCGTGGAACAAGAATTTAGTTCGGCCGACAACGTTCTAACAGCATCTAGAACGAGTTTGAGCGCAGAGTCTCTTGAGACGCTTATATGCTACCACAATTGGTTGAAGGCCATACGTAGAACTCAAGAAATTAGCATCACCCCCTCCCAAGACTTTATGGATGAATCAACAACCGAGGGTGGCTCCTATGCCGGAGATTCCGATTGATTAGTATTTTACAAATTATTATAAAATGTATTTTATGTTTTAATTTTTCCCTCAATTCTCTATTGTAATTTGTAAACTTGTAGTTCATATTTCAAATAAATATACATTCTTTTTTTATATGTAGCACTTCTCAAATCATTTAATTGGTTACAAACTTACAACTTACAACTTAGAATTAATTATATTAGTATTTATTAGAAAATGTATTTCATATTGAAGTTGTATTAATAAGTAAAAAAAAATACATAGGCCCGACCTGACCCGACGGGTGGCCCGGCCCGGGACCCGGGCGGGTGAGAGAGAAATAAATAAAGACACAAATTTATTTCTTTAAAAGAAAAGCGGCAAAGTATTCTGAGACAAACAAAAAGGAAAGTTTACAAAGTATAGTGGGACGGAGAGAGTAGGTGTTACTCTCATCTTTTGTTTGATTATCTCATTCCTCATACAGTCTTTTATGGCATGCCCACACATTCAACACATCAAACACAACTTCGCAGCTCTACCACACTCATATTTTAAACATGACATTGTTTCATCGTACAACATTTTATGTCATATAGTAATGTAAGCTTAATTGTTGTTCGGTAAAATTTACCCTTTCGCAGGGCTGTTTCAGAGGGATGGGCAACAGGGGCGACTGCCTTAGGCTCGAAACAAATAGAAGAAAAAATAGGCTCAAAATTTTTTCTTTATAGATAGTGTGAGTAGACTTCTTTTTTATTTTTAAGTTCAATTAATTAGGCCTAATGTTTAATCTTGTTAACAAATTGAAATTTTTTATCATAACAATTATAAAAATTTTAAAAATAAATAAGAATTCTTAAACAAATCCAAGTTTAAAAAAGAATATATACATTAAATTCAAGTAGGATGGATTGTAGTTTTTCCCTCCTTAATTGAGAAGTTCATGAGAATTCTAGAATATTGCGGAGATGTTTAGGATTCTCTAGATGTGTGAAGGAATGTATTGAATGTTCTAGAATGTTCTAGAGCTTTCTAGAGGGACGTGAAATTATCTAGAAGTGTGTGGAAGAGTGTAGAATATTCTAGAACATTGTAAAGTTTTCTAGAAAAATGTGGAATTCTCTAGAATCGTGCGGAAGTGTGTGGAAGCCTCTAGAACATTCTCAAGCGACGTGGAATTCTCTAGATCCTTCTGGAAGATTAGAGAAGCTTGTGGATAGTTCTTAGAAAAATCTAGAAATGTAGTAGTGTATAGAAAGTTCTAGAGAAGCTGTGAGGATATTAGTATAAATAGAGGTGACACTCCTCATTCTTATGGAGAGCCATGAGGAGGCATTGAGTGAGAGACATGTGAGGGCCTAGAGAGAGAGCCTCCTCAAGTGATGAGAGAGAGAGAGATCCTTGAGTAGAGCTCTTGAGTGAGTGAGTGCTTGCTTGAGAGAGGTGTGTGTGAGTGAAGTAGTCTCATATATAGAAAGAGTGATGTGAGCTACCCATTTATTTGTAAAATATCTCTTGTACATTTGAGGAGGCATCAAGTAAGAGCCATGTGAGGGCATAAAGAGAGAGATCCTAGAGAGAGACTCCTCTAGTAATGAGAGAGAGAGCCTTGAGGAGAGCTCTTGAGTGAGTGAGTGATTCCTTGAGAGAGGTGTGCGTGAGTGAAGTAGTCCCATATACAAAGAGTGATGTGAGCTACCTGTTTACTTGTAAAATATCTCTTGTACATTTCAATTGTATAATACAAAGTGTTATTGTTAGATTGAGCCTTTGTATTAAGAGTGAGTGGGTGGGTGTACAAGAGTCCTTTGAGCTTTTGATCCTGGAAGTGGTCGGGGGGGTCGTGTCTTCCCCAACACAAGGTATAAATCAAATTTTGTATGATAACATTTAGCCTTGATTTTTTTAATTATCATTGCAAAGCTTTCTATCACAGGAAATTGCTTTCATCAGAAACTGAATAAAGTTATCATATGTTGATAATGAGATTCTCAATATGTAAACTTGAATTTATCTTTCAAAGCTTTTCGAGTTATGACTAGTCATACTTGCTTTTCCAGTCTAATTATGATCAATCATGTATCATTGCATAAAACTTACGTGTAATTAATATTTCTCAATAACATTATCGGAGCTCCAAATTTCAAATGGGAACATTATTAGACAATTCAACCATCAGATAGCTATTAAGATATTTAACAATGTACAATCAACATGAACAGTAGTACCAATGTGCGAATGGATAATATTAATTGAACTAAGATAAGTAACTCTTACGTCATCGATCAATGATGGTATGTAGTTACTTATTTCATTAATAATGTCTAGTGTATGCACAAGCTAGGATCGTTGTTTCCTATAGGTGTGTGTGTGTGTGTGTTGGTTCACTTGATATATCACAAAAGTTAGGATATGTGCTTTCAACTATAGCTATATTATGATTATCTTTTACCTTAGAAAATAAATCACTCACGGTTTTCACTTCTAGAAAAATTATCATTAATTATTTACTCTAGTATCATCATCTCTTACTTTAACAACTTACATCCCAAACCTTTTAGTTTTTATTTGCTAGTCATTGTGGCGCACACACACATCATGAAGCTTTGTGATAAAGGTTTCAAAAATATGAAATGAAGTTCAATATTACAATATATTTCAGATATTTGGAAATTAATGCTCCATAATATATGTAAATACTATTAATTTAGGACCTAATTGCAATTAATGACTTCACTAATTGGTCTCAATAACAATTAATTAATTGAGAATTTAATTTCAATTAGAAGGTTGTACTTTATAATCAAGTAAGTATATATCATTTATTTTTAAATATCACTTCACCAAATTATAATATGTCAAATGAAATAAGCAGTCTTTTTTAGTGATACACTAATATCATTAATAGATCATGTAGAAATACTAATAATTGCCTATGCACGAATGATAATATGTACTTTGAATACTTTGTTTATAAATTTCAACACATTAAAAAAGGTAAAATAACTTTAAATAATACAAAATATATTACATGAAGCAAGAATAATATGTACTTCAGAAATAACTTTTAATAATATCAACTATTTGAATATATATATCAAAAGTGATATAACACAAGTTTTTACTAAAATTTCATTCATTTAACTCATCAAAAGTTCCTTAAAATATGACTAAAGAATTCATTATTCCTAAGATAATGATTGGTTGCATGTGTGGAAAGTTCTTTGATTCTACTTTTACTCCCTTTAATTTAATTATTACTCATAAAAATGCATATTTGAGTTTGTTGGTCATAAATTACAAATCTATGAATGTTCTAGTTACGTATAAATAAATTTTACAGTATTATTTATTTGACAGTTTGATATTAGTTTTTGATGTGTTAAATGACTGAATTTCTTGTAGAAAAATGACTCCATATTATTTTTGTTGTACGTTCAAATTGTTGGAATTACTAACTCTCATATTCAAAGTATGTATTATTATTGATTTATGGATGATAATTGGTAATTGGTATTATTTAAAGTTATTTTCCTTTAAAGAAACACTCTTCAAAACAAATTAAAACAAATATATACTCCGTATGATAAAGACTTCTAGTTTTTTTAAAACTAAACAGAACACAAGGTTTAAGTAGCAATAAATAAATAGTGGAATCAGTTTCTTATGAAACAAAAATACACATTTTCAGTTTGTAAACTACATATATTAAACATGTAAGTGTAGTGTATGTTTTATGAATTTCAAATAGCAACCACACGAACCAAAAAGAATAAATTAGATTTTCATTAGATCAATAGTATGGAGTAATTTTTCAAATACAAGTTTTCAAATACAAATACAAACTTTTGTTTTAGATTAATGAAAAATTATTTTTGAATTGATAGAGAAAAAAAAAAGATTTATTCGTAATTATTGAATTTAAACATGAAGAAGAAAAAAGTGTGATTAGATCAGATTCTTAATATTTTGATGAAGGAGAAGAAAATAATTGAAGAAGAAAAGAAGGAATAAGAAAAAATAAGAGGAATGGGGAGAGGAGATGACCAAACAAATTGTTGAAGAGGAATAGATCAGATGACCGATGAAGTGGAAGGCATGTCTGTAAATTTGAGACATTGCAGCCGGCGACGTCGTTTCTTCATTTGCAGCTTCTTGATTTGCAGCCAGCTGCTACTTTTCTTGATTTGCCTCCAGATGATATGGAGGTCGATTCTTGCGCGGATGATGTGGATGATGTGGATGATATGGATGCTATGGATGTGGATGATATGGATGCTATGGATGATGTGGATGATATGGATGCTATGGATGTGGATGCTATGGAGGTGGATCCACAATGATATGGAGAGAGTTGGTCTTACGACGCCGGAGCTGCCGGCGGTTGATTTCCAATACTTCTACTACATAGATTACACTTCTACTACATAGATTACTCTGTTTTTCTTTCCTACTGCATATGGGCGTACTTTTTTAGCACCTATATTTTGACATCTATTATTACTCTGTTTTTTTTTCTTCTCAATTTAACAATGATGTAACAAAATGATGTATAAATTGGTATGGAGTAGTTTTTAGGTTCACTCTCCAACTTTTGGGCAAGTATAAAAGATATTCTATTTTGAAATTGAATTAACGTTCATTTTAGATGTTATATGAGCTATGAGATCTATTGTTCATGGATAAGACATGTGTTTTAATTTATCGGTTTAGACATTAAGTAGTTCATTCATGGACTTACATCAATTGTATAAATGATGTTAAAACCCAAATTTGACCTATGTAGGAGTAGGTTCTGATTTGTACTAGTAATTACGGTTAATTGCCGTATTATATTAGTCCATGATCGATACATACGCATAAGATAAAATCTAAAATGACTCAATCCACAATTGCGTATTACATGTATATATAGGATTAAACTTTAGTGCGTGTCATCATTACAAGAATGGGGGCGTGTATTTTGGTGTAAATAAAGTAACACATTGCAATTAAAATATAAAATGTTCAAGTTGAAGATATCACACACAAGATCATATAAGAAATATATATTGAAAGCACACATGCATGAAACATATATATACTAGTACTCGTACTTCGTATAAGATAAAAACGAAGAAGTATAGAAAGTACCCATAATTACACATGCAAATTAAAACTTAGCTTATACAGTACATGACGGGCACTTCGATCGACTACAGATATTTGAAATACAAGATTCAGAATACCTCAAATTAAATATATAAAAAAAAGATTAATCGATATGTCAAGATTAGAAAAAGAGAAAAAATCAATGGGAAAATACGGAATACCTGATGAATTCCCAAGCAATGCCTTTTTTCTTCCCCTTCGGAATACCGCAATAAAAACTCTGATCTGATCTTGGCGTACGTACGTACAGTAGATCGAGTTATTTCTTCGATCGAGTCATTATATTTATGGAAGGGAAAAAGGTAGCCGTTGGATATAGGTTTCTTCCTAGTGACAAAACGCTTGTCAAGGATTTCCTTTTCCCAAAGGTCAACGGTCTGGAATTTTTTCAAAGTCTCATCCATGAAGCGGACGACGTTTACCGGCAATAGGAAGATCGGAAGTTTACACGGTCCACCGGATATTGAAGAAGACCGGCCGCCGTTAACCATATATAGCAAGAAGGAAATTTAGACCAGAAATTAACGTGCATGGTGATCGATGCCTTGCGAGAAACCACCAAACCGGACGTTACGTTACACGGCCTCACTCACTGCACTGGATGATGCCTTGCCAAAAACCCAGACAGTTAACCATGGAAGAAGGAAATCGTTGAAAAGTGTTAACCTTGGGACGAAGCATATAGCCAATGGGAACGTTCTTTCCCTTCCGGCCGCCATTCTAAGTTTTCAAAAGATACATGAAGGGTTTAATTATAAACGCTTGGGATGGATTTATATATGGGATGGGATTTCTTTCTAGGTTTAATTTCTTGCATGCCACTACAAGAAAACACTTTGTGAGTTTGTGGACGCAATAACTAAACTTAGACTAATTAAAAAAAATGGGCTTGCTTTGGAACCGTCGAACTTTACTTTCTTTTAATGTTTCAATACGTGTATTTTGAACACTTTTAATTAGGATTATATACGAGTATAAGAAAAGACTGCTGCTCTAATTAAATTTGGGGCTGAAATGATTGAATTGCCCCCGAGCTTTTGTGTTCCAAATATCAAGCTTCCTACCCTTAATAACCATTTTCTATGTTCAAAAGTGACACTATAAATTCATTCAAATTTTAAATATATATATGTTCATTATTGTTCGGTAAAATTTATTTTTCTCATTTAAATGATGAATATGTGATTCATGAGCACGATTGTATGTTTTTCACATAACTCATTATTTATATTTTACCAAGATATTGCCCCTTCTTATATGCTAGTGTATTTTGGTGTTAAAAGGAAAAAAGACAGGATAGATATATCAAGCAGCTTTTCCCTAAAGACTTGATGGAGGTGATGCCTACAATTTTCTTACTTAAGTCTTGATTTGCATCGTTTTACTCCTCGTTAGCTTCATCACCAGTATTAACAAAGTGGTAGGACTAAAAGTACTACATTATATTTTTTTCTTTTCAGAGATCTAGTATATCTTGTTACTGTTTTACACACCGGTATATCTTTAGCTTTTTTAAATAGCAATTGTCATATATC